TTGCACCTAAAGACAGACGAGTGACTTGGTACGAGGATCATCGGTGGCAGCTGGTGTTTCAGTGACGGCTCAGACAGTGAGAAAGGTACCGCATGAAGTCAACCCCAATAGACGTCCAAGAATAAGACCACCTAATGTAGCAAAGATGTTCATACTGTCCTCAAAGTACAAGTAGACTAAAGAATTTCTTTGTAATAGGACAATGGTATGAAGTTGTTAGCTGTACCTTGACATGTTTCGGCGTTCCATCTGTCGCCTTCTTCAGAAGTGTCATCTGACGTGTGTGACATGTCTTTGTCAGCTGTTTTTCCTGGGCGTGGCCAATCTGACAGATCCAGTGGGTGTGTCAGTTTGGCCACGCCTACCATTGCGCGGTGGTCTCTGGAGCAGAGGATGAATTGGGAAGACGCGAGGATCATAGGGACTGAGGAGCATAAAGTTCCTCTCGTACTGGGCAGGATTACTGTTGCAACAACACATCATCAGTAGGGTAAAACTAACCTGTCTCACGATGGTCTAATCCCAGCTCACGTTCCCTATTAGTGGGTGAACAATCCAGCGTTTGGTGAATTCTGCTTCACAATGATAGGAAGAGGCGACATAGAAGGATCAAAAAGCGACATCGCTATCCTACGTCCTTGTATACTCACACTGTGAGCGCCTTAGCCGACATGTGGACGGTGCGAAAGACTCCGAACGCTTCTCTGTAGGGTTCCGTTGCTCCAGCATTCAGAACAGTTTAGATACTGTGTGCTTTTGGTGCTTTGGTACTTCATATTCAAATATTTTAAACAGTTGACTAGCGAAGAAGGAAGCACGACGTGGCTCTGTTAGCTGATCCGACAGGTGCTCCTCAGTGGGGCCGGTGAAAATACAAATTCTGAAGAAGGCGACAGATGGAATGCCGAAACATGTCAAGGTACAGCTCACACCTCCATACCATTGTCCTATTACAAAGAAATTCTTAAGTCTAATAAGAGCACTGCTTATAAAATCCACAAGATTAAACTTTGCCAAATAAAAAAAAAAAACACAGAAAGAGGCCTGATCAATAGTGGCAGCACATACTGTGGTCAGAAGTGACCAAATTAAATTAGTTTGAATCAGCTGGAGTCCACAGTGACTGCAGGGCGCTGACCGGGAAGCACTGAGGTGGGAGTTCTGATACGGAGCTGCGCGAGTATTAAAGAGGAGATGACTTCTATTGAAGGTACGATGAATGAGAGTTTGTTTACCAAAATACAGAATCAAAAGAGGACTCAGAGTCTCAAGAAGCCGTGGAGGAGAGGAATGTGACATGAAAATCACACTGACGTTTTTAAAGAGGATAAAAGTAAAGACTAGGATAAATATTTTTTCCTACCTTGACTCCAATAGAACACCTTTGGAGTATAATATAGTGGAAAATGGAGCAACAAAGCCCCTCCAGCGAAGATCAGTTGAAGGGAATCATGTTAAAAAACTGGCATTAAGCTGTCGTGGTTGCACAGCGGTGTACTCAGCTTTCTTCTGTTCTGTTTATAATATGCAGCCTCACCACTTGCTCGTGACGTGTATTATCTCCTTTTCCGTCCGTTCCTCTCAGGTTTTGTGAAGGATGTGGCTCGGCCAGACTACTGGGTGCCAGACCAGAACATCACCCAGTGCCACCAGTGCTCTAAGACCTTCACCGCGGCCATGTCCAAGCACCACTGCAGGGCCTGTGGGCAGGGAGTGTGCGGGCCCTGCTCCACACACAGCCGGCCCGTGCCCTCCCGAGGCTGGGACCACCCGGTCAGAGTGTGCGACAGTTGCCACGCCCGGACGGACTCCCTGTGACCTTCTCAAGCAGGGAAACTTTGCAAAGTGTACTCCGTCTTCCTCAGATGATTCAGAAACACACTGTGAATCCTGGTACTGCTGCTCCGAGACAACAAGGGGAATCGGCTGAACGGCACCGAACAGCAGGACTGGAATCAGCTCGGTTTTTGTGGGAAAAGACTGGCTGCTTAAAGAGATCTCCATCCAGACTCACGGTGCTGACCAAGAATCTGCTTTTCATCTCATCCGCTTTCCTTGACTGATTCAGTCTCAGCTGTGAGACAAACATGTATCATAGATCACTTTCATTACAGCCCCGCGAGTCAAACGGCTCCGAGACTAACTGGACAAGCTGGACACGCGTTTTTAACTGACAGGCTTTTAAGAATTAAGATCTTCAGCTCCCTGCAGTTTATCATTATCGGAGCTTGAAGTCTCTGCTGCACTCTGGTGTAAGGCTTCCATGTTCAGTCATTCATTTCTTTGCTTGCACTTCGCCGTAGCAGGCTGCCCATTCTCACTTTGAACAAGGTGTTCGCTAGAAATGACAAGAGAGTGAGAAAAAAGGATGAACTTGGACGTGAGAAATTGTGGAGTTTGACAGACTTTTAAATTTCTGTGTCTTAAAGTTTTGAAGCCATTTCAACCACTCAGTCTTTTGTTTGACTTCAGAGGAGATGACTTTTATCCTCCTCTGAACTCTCTCACCTGCAGATCCTGGCGAAGACGAGCATAAAAATGATCTTTTAGGGAAAAAAAATTGTTCCTGCGTTACTCAGGGCAGAAAGAGAGGAGAGGTGGAGAAACAACAACAAGCAGCAGCAGCGTGTGCCTTCATGGGAATCTTACAACCCATTTCTGTAGCCCCTTAGGTTTGTTTTGGGGATTCCTTCATATGTGCAAGGACTAACGAGATTATTTGTGCCTATTTACAGAGCAATGTCATTTACAGCCTTGCTCCTCTAACTCCTACAGTTGTATCTGCAGTATGCTGAAGTGGAGAATAAGATCTGTAGCTTAACACACGTAGACATTCCACTGTATGGAAGTATCTGTGTACTCGTGTAGACTGACCTTTCTGGGGTTATTGTAAGAAATGAAGCACTGATGTTTCAGGACGCTCTCAGAATAATGAATACACCTGCACCGGATCATTGAGGTGTGCTTATTTCAAAGATACTAAATCACTTGACCACATAAAGTACAAATTCTATAAACATTGATGAAATGAGGGAGTTTGTCTGTAAAATCCTGGATGCTTTGTGCTGTTCTTTGTCTAGAAATAACCACTTCAGTCAAATCTAGCAATTGACAATCTTGATTTTTCTTTTTTAAATAAATGAAGCTTATTCACAGAACAGAAAAGAAAGGAACATTTTGTGTCTGTAAGAGTCACTTAGGAGCTCTCTTTCTTCCAGTTGAATAGTTTGAAGTACTTTAGCGCTGCTACCTCACAGCTACAGAGCTCTGGGTTCAAAACTGGAGGTCGGGTCGAGGCTTTGCTTTTGTCCTTTGCTTTAGGAGCCGAAGGGAAACCTGGAGCAGCTACACCCACCTCAGGATGAAGTTAGAGGGCTCCGCACATACGCATAGACCTGGAGTGACATCCCAACCCTAATATCTTTCAAACTATCCATCCATCCATCATCTATACCCCGCTTAATCCTCACTAGGGTCATGGGGGGCTGGAGTCTATCCCAGCTGACTCAGGGTGAAGGCAGGTTCACCTGGACAGGTAACCAGTCTATCACAGGGCTACACTTAGAGACAGACAACCAAGCACACTCACATTCACACCTACGGACAATTTACAATCACCAATTAACCTCAACATGTTTGGAGACTCCACGGGATGCGAACCGTCAACCTTCTTGCTGTGAGGCAACGGTGCTAACCACTGCCCCACCTTCCAGCCCATTCAAACTAAACATTTGATAATGAAAAAGCATATCTTGGAGCAAGCCTCCACGGTGCTAGAAGGTCCCGGTGAGGACACCCAGGATCTTTCTGCGTGGAGTCTCCATGTTCTCCCCTTGCAGCGTGGGTTCTCTCCGGGTTCTCCGGCTTCCTCCCGCAGTCCAGAAACATGTTGAGGTTAATTGGTGATTCTAAATTGTCTGTAGGTGTGAATGTGAGTGTGCTTGGTTGTCTGTCTCTAAGTGTAGCCCTGTGATAGACTGGTGACCTGTCCAGGTGAACCTGCCTTCACCCTGAGTCAGCTGGGATAGACTCTGGCCCCCCATGACCCTAATGAGGATTAAGGTGTAGAGATGATGGATGGATGGATCTTGGAACAACAGTTTCAGGTTGTTTTTTTTAATCAACTTGCATTTAAATAAAAATACCTATCATACACAAGTAGTTGTCGTGTAAGTCCAGAGCAGTCATAGGATAATAAAAGCACATAGTGAGTTGGTTTCTACACCATCCCAGTCTGTGTAGTGTTTCAGCCAAACCACCCCTTTAAATGTTTGCCTCCATCGTTTTTTTCTGGGTTCTTCCTCCTGCAGTCCAAACACAAACACTGTAGGTTAACTGGTGGTTCTAAATTGGCTGAAGCACGAGTATGAGCGAGTATTCATCAGCCCTGGGATGGACTGGAGACTTCTACCCAGTGTCTGCTTCCACCCGTGACCCCCTGCAGGATGAAGCAGGAGTACATGGTGGATGGATGAACGCTGGTGATGAGGCAACAGCAAGACTCGGACTGCGCCATAACTCACACTCCACACGTCTAAATATTGTTCTTACTTGATCATAGTGATGTTTTTGGCATCCCTAAAACACGAAGCTCGCTGTGGGACGGTTAGCAGACGTTACAAAAGACAGTTGCACAGTTTCTATTAAACATGATTTCAAACACCCGGTGACAGTGGAGTAGAGGAATGCATTTTTAATCAGTCAAATAATCATAAACAATAGTCCATCAATTCAGTTTTTTAACCTGCAGACCTTCATTGGTGATATATTAGCAGCCGCTGCTATAAAATCTCACAAAGCTTTCACACCCTCTGGTTTCCTTCGGGTTCTTATCCTTGAACTCAGTGTCTCAGTTCAGGATGACATTTAACTGATTCTATTCAGAATGTGGTCAAACTGTAAATAGTTTGTTTGGATCCTGCTCTGCCACTGTTCATAAAACGTTTCATTGGTTGTGTACATTTGTGAACCAGCTGCTGTTGGAATGACTCAGATCTCGTATTTTTATATCAGAGCTTCATACGGGTAATGAGTCTGGTTGGCTTTGGCTTCAGAGTTTAACAGCTGCTGCTTCCATCCGCAGAAGCAGTAAATATGTTTGTCGCACTGATTCACTGAGTCACACATTTGAAACGTTTTATCCAAATTGTGTTTGATGTAATGAGATTAGATTTAGTGTTTGGGTCGCACTGAACCCTTTGTGCCTCTCTGTGACCTCTAGCCAGATTAACTGGTGTGTTTTTCCTCCAACAATCACATTTTACAGTCGTTATTTGTCTTGAGGCCTGCGTATTTCAAACACACCATTCCTCTCATCCTTGTGTTATTGATAAACCTCCGTCCTTCAGCTAATTCTCAGACCAGAGTGGATTCACTGCAGTGAACTTGGCGATGCAGCAGAACTGACTGCGTCTTCGCTACGCCTCTTTCCAATTGTGTTGTTTACCTTTCTCTGTATTTGTCTCCCTCGGAGGGTAATGAGATTGGCCTCTCGCTGATTTACCCCGAGCAAGTAGCTGACAGGTACAGTGGCCTCTGAAGGTATGTTAACGGCAAAGTGAAATGTGATGTTTGTGCTACTTAAATGAATTGAATTGGAGATCAAAGCATGACAATGAAGTCGACGCTGGCTTTTAGCTGTTCATGCTGTTTTACACGCACGTACATGCTGTCAGTTTATACAAAGAGCTGTTTTAACGTAGAGTCCACTTGTTGTAGATGTGCAACTCTGTCAACATGCGTGGTCCTTTAATGCAACGACGGCAGCAGGAACATTTAGCGTCTTCGTTTGAAATACTATCCAAAGCCCCCAGTCGATGTTTCTTACAGAGTCTTTGTCCTTAACGTCGTTTTCAGCAGTTAAGCTGTTGAAAATGTTCAAGACCTTCCAGTTCTTGTCTGTTCATCCTTGTTGCAGGATGAACGAGGAACTGTTCTGCACGAAACCTTTCAAAGTGTGTAGCTCTGAGCTGCTGGTACCATCATTTGTTCCAGTAAAAAGAAGCGAGCCATTTCCACAAGCGGCCACGTACACCCAGGCTGTGACATGTTCTTAATGTGCGCTCATCTTTATTGGAAAGTTTGCTCCAGAATCTTTCTGTATAATCCAGCCTTCCACTGATGATCTCCTCAGACTGGTAGTGACCATCGTTTTAGGTCTTCTTCAGCTGCAGTTGTTTTCTGTGGGCGACCTGACCTGAGTTTATTATTATTATGTTGCCCACCTTCTCTTTCCTTTCAGAACTTCCCACACTGTTGTACTTGATGTCCATTTTTAGTTCTGACTTTTTATGTTCTCTCTTCCTGCTTAGACGAGCTGTTCTCTGTCTTCTCTCTCCAGCCACTACTTCAACAGAATGAAAAACAGGCTGAGATAAAGGACCGTCCTTTGGACTGGAACCGATTCCAGCTCCTTGATCGTAAGGCCGGGTACACTCTGGACAGGTTGTCACTGGCTAACTGGCGAACACAAGGAGACAAACAACTATTCATGCTCACACTCGCTCCTTCAGCCAATTTAGAATCACCGGTTAACCCACCGTACACGTCTTTGCATTGTGGGGGGGGAAGCATCTGGAGAGAACCCAGACCGGCCCCAGCCGACCAGCAGGTTCAGACCCAGAACATTCTGACTGCCTTGTGAAGAATCGATGCAATAGGAAAACCTGTACACGAGTTACGCCTGTCAGCCAGTTGTTTGCCTGCTTTTGTGGATGCAACTCAGACATTTCTGTGAAAAACAAAGGTGCATGTGAAAACCATCAAAGCTGATAATCGCTTCTCACCTCATCTTCTGATTTCAAATCCACACACCTTAAATCAAAGCCACTGTAAATACACATGTACTTCCCTAGTAGTCCTCTTCCTTTCTCTCTACAAGCTCCAATTCAAGGTTATGTGAAGTTCAGGGTCCCTGGTGTCCGGTCCGCTAATGTATCGCTGACTAATATCCATGACGCAGTGCTCATTTCCTTCTAAAACCAATTACACAGTGTCAGTATGGAGGCAACAGATGGGGGAGGTGGCGGGTGGGGACATCTGTCGATACACTGTCGGCTCAAGACTCTGTTTTTTACGTGATACTGCAAATCACATGAATAATCTTTGGGGTAAAAAAGCATAAAATAGTGCACTTGTGAAAATGTGGCTACTATTTCCTGGCTGTTGGCCTTTATGTATGTAGATCATCGTGTCCTTTTTACTTCCCTCTAAAGCACATATCTGCTCATCCTTCCACTGAGCAACCCTTTCAAGTCACCGTGCCATATAACTGATTTAGTGTGAATCCGCAGCTGAAGAAAGCGAGCACATGTACCGGAGCCTAATAGAAAAGCTGCTGTGCTGGTGTCGGTGGTTTTGACTGAGATAAATTACACGGCCCCATGTGTCTGCACTGTTATTACTGTGTTTTCCTCCAAACCGCTGTGGAAAATCCATCATGCAGCACTGGTCTGAATAAGACGCATCCAGTCAGTGATGACAAAACCACCGGTTCCATCGGTTTTCGCTCCACGACTCCGGTCCAGGCCGGAAACAGACAGAAACAGGTGGAAACTAGCACAAGATGTGGCTTAACGTAAGTATCCTGGAGTGGGTTTGGTCCTGGAAAGTTATGGTTAAGAAGACACTTAATCTGGAGCAGTTAGGCTCAGTAGTGTGATTGCTAGTTGAGAAAACCTTGGTGATGTTCAAGTGTTCCCTGAATACTTGAAGATGTTGTAATATTTGTGTAATAGTGTGTTTGGAGAGCTTGTCTCATATTCTGTTAATATTTTTTTTAAACAGCCGTTTGTTATTTTCTACTCGTGTCACTTTGTTAAAGTTATACTAAGTCTATATATAGACTACTTTAACCTTTAACAGTTTGTATTTTAGGTGTTATTTTTCTTTAAGCATTAACGATAACCTGTGTTTTTGTCCAGCACCTGTCATACTGTGTCCTCCACAGAGCAGGATGGAGAAAAACCAAGAAGAAAAGAGATTCAAATGCAGCTCTGGTTTGAAATACGTCTGTCTCCTGTCATGATTAAACCCATAAAAACTTTTGCATCGAAGTGACAGATTTAGACACTTTTTCCATGAAATGATAAAAGTTTCCTGCCATAAAAAATTTGTTCTGGATTGGAAACTTACTTTGAATAGCATTGTTTCCTATTTAGTTCTAT